CAGCCGAACATTGTCGTGTGAAGAAGCTGAAGTATTGACACTACAGCCGAACATTGTCGTGTGAAGAAGCTGAAGTATTGACACTACAGCCGAACATTGTCGTGTGAAGAAGCTGAAGTACGGTCAGTACAGCCGAACATTGTCGTGTGAAGAAGCTGACGTACCGTCAGTACAGCCGAACATTGTTGTGTGAAGAAGCTGAAGTACCGTCAGTACAGTCGAACATTGTCGTTTGAAGAAGCTGAAGTACCGTCAGTACAGCCGAACATTGTCGTATGAAGAAGCTGAAGTATTGACACTACAGCCGAACATTGTCGTGTGAAGAAGCTGAAGTATTGACACTACAGTCGAACATTGTCGTGTGAAGAAGCTGAAGTATTGACACTACAACCGAACATTGTCGAGTGAAGAAGCTGAAATATTGACACTACAGCCGAACATTGTCGTGTGAAGAAGCTGAAGTATTGACACTACAGCCGAACATTGTCGTGTGAAGAAGCTGAAGTATTGACACTACAGCCGAACACTGTCGTGTGAAGAAGCTGAAGTACCGTCAGTACAGCCGAAACATTGTCGTGTGAAGAAGCTGAAGTACCCTCAGTACAGTCGAACATTGTCGTGTGAAGAAAATGAAGTACCGTCAGTACAGCCGAAGATTGTCGTATGAAGAAGCTGAAGTATTGACACTACAGCCGAACATTGTCGTGTGAAGAAGCTGAAGTACCGTCAGTACAGCCGAACATTGTGGTGTGAAGAAGCTGAAGTACCGTCAGTACAGCCGAACATTGTCGTGTGAAGAAGCTGAAGTACCGTCAGTACAGACGAACATTGTCGTGTGAAGAAGCTGAAGTACCCTCAGTACAGCCAAACATTGTCGTGTGAAGAAGCTGAAGTATTGACACTACAGCCGAACATTGTCGTGTGAAGAAGCTGAAGTACCGTCAGTACAGCCGAACATTGTCGTATGAAGAAGCTGAAGTGTTGACACTACAGCCGAACATTGCAGTGTGAAGAAGCTGAAGTATTGACACTACAGCCGAACATTGTCGTGTGAAGAAGCTGAAGTACCGTCAGTACAGCCGAACATTGTCGTGTGAAGAAGCTGAAGTACCCTCAGTACAGTCGAACATTGTCGAGTGAAGAAGCTGAAGTACCGTCAGTACAGCCGAACATTGTCGTATGAAGAAGCTGAAGTATTGACACTACAGCCGAACATTGTCGTGTGAAGAAGCTGAAGTATTGACACTACAGCCCAACATTGTGGTGTGAAGAAGCTGAAGTACCGTCAGTACAGCCGAACATTGTCGTGTGAAGAAGCTGAAGTACCCTCAGTACAGTCGAACATTGTCGTGTGAAGAAGCTGAAGTACCGTCAGTAAAGTCGAACATTGTCATGTGAAGAAGCTGAAGTACCGTCAGTACAGTCGAACATTGTCGTATGAAGAAGTTGAAGTACCGTCAGTACAGCCGAACATTGTCGTGTGAAGAAGCTGAAGTACCGTCAGTACAGCCGAACATTGTCGTATGAAGAAGCTGAAGTATTGACACTACAGCCGAACATTGTCGTGTGAAGAAGCTGAAGTATTGACACTACAGCCGAACATTGTCGTGTGAAGAAGCTGAAGTACCGTCAGTACAGCCGAACATTGTCGTGTGAAGAAGCTGAAGTACCCTCAGTACAGTCGAACATTGTCGTGTGAAGAAGCTGAAGTACCGTCAGTACAGCTGAACATTGTCGTATGAAGAAGCTGAAGTATTGACACCACAGCCGAACATTGTCGTGTGAAGAAGAAGCTGAAACATTGTCGTGTGAAGAAGCAGTACCGTCAGTACAGCCGAACATTGTCGTGTGAAGAAGCTGAAGTACCGTCAGTACAGCCGAACATTGTCGTGTGAAGAAGCTGAAGTACCGTCAGTACAGCCGAACATTGTCGTGTGAAGAAGCTGAAGTACCGTCAGTACAGCCGAACATTGTCGTGTGAAGAAGCTGAAGTACCGTCAGTACAGACGAACATTGTCGTGTGAAGAAGCTGAAGTACCGTCAGTACAGCCGAACATTGTCGTGTGAAGAAGCTGAAGTACCGTCAGTACAGCCAAATATTGTCGTGTGAAGAAAATGAAGTACCGTCAGTACAGCCGAACATTGTTGTGTGAAGAAGCTGAAGTACCGTCGGTACAGCCGAACATTGTCGTATGAAGAAGCTGAAGTATTGACACTACAGCCGAACATTGTCGTGTGAAGAAGCTGAAGTATTGACACTACAGCCGAACATTGTCGTGTGAAGAAGCTGAAGTATTGACACTACAGCCGAACATTGTGGTGTGAAGAAGCTGAAGTACCGTCAGTACAGCCGAACATTGTCGTGTGAAGAAGCTGAAGTACCGTCAGTACAGCCGAACATTGTCGTGTGAAGAAGCTGAAGTACCGTCAGTACAGCCGAACATTGTCGTGTGAAGAAGCTGAAGTACCGTCAGTACAGCCGAACATTGTCGTGTGAAGAAGCTGAAGTACGGTCAGTACAGCCGAACATTGTCGTGTGAAGAAGCTGAAGTCCCGTCACTACAGCCGAACATTGTCGTGTGAAGAAGCTGAAGTCCCGTCACTACAGCCGAACATTGTCGTGTGAAGAAGCTGAAGTACCGTCAGTACAGCCGAACATTGTCGTGTGAAGAAGCTGAAGTCCCGTCACTACAGCCGAACATTGTCGTGTGAAGAAGCTGATGTACTGTCAGTACAGCCGAACATTGTCGTGTGAAGAAGCTGAAGTACCGTCAGCACAGCCGAACATTGTCGTGTGAAGAAGCTGGAGTACCGTCAGTACAGCCGAACATTGTCGTGTGAAGAAGCTGGAGTACCGTCAGTACAGCCGAACATTGTCGTGTGAAGAAGCTGCTTCCTAACGGAACATGATAGGTGGTTGTGAGGGTCCACTTACCTGTGCCACGGACGCCCAGACCGCTGATGAGGAGCAGATAACATACGACGTATGTTCGCAACATGTTGTTACAAGTGATTGTAATCGTCTGTGAATTTAAAACAACAGAGGATGAATGGTTTAGGTAAACAATACTGGACTTGAATGAACATGTGAAAAAACTGATTACATTGCGATGTCCGTTCTCTCATTTTGACGTAATGAGTTGCGTAGCTTAGGTGATATACCACCCACCCACCCGCCCCGAACTATTGACACACACACGCACGCACGCACGCACGCACGCACACTCCAGCTATTCCAACACTGATATGTGCGTTGATATTTCGTATCAGCTCTCAATTGTCACGCATTGTGCTCACAGCACATGGAACTAAACTACCACATTAATTGAAAATCGATAACGTCGTCATGTTATCACATTTGATGAAGCAAATGTGTCCGATAATGTTCCGTATCTTCCATCTTTATAAAGTGGTTTATGCGGAAATTGTTCGAACGCTCAGTACAATAACTAAGAAAAACTACAAGGCCAGTTTTGTGGGTTCGAATCCCGGATGGGACTCAACCCAAAAAGTACTAGAATTTGAACTTTACTAAGAAAATGTAATCCCAAGTATGACATATGCTAGTTTTGATACGAAACTGACTGGTAAGGAATGAATGACTTATCCGAACAGTTTTATGTCGACCACTTCTCTTCTGCGTGTGTTACGGCCGGCTTTTATATGGTTGTCAACAGCAGCGGGACTCATATAATGTATAGGCTACGTGACATCATGTGGAGGCTTCCTAAAGGGGCATGTATATGCAGACACCGTTCTACTTTCAGTTTCGTTTCTGGAACTATATGTGTGTTTTTGTGTCTTGTGTCGTTATCAGTAATTGAATAGCTCGTGACCCTCACAACTGCTTCGTTGACACAAACCTGGTATTTACAGAGAGGCATAGATCGATCACGGCCTCGTACATATCTTTAGACACAGCAGGAAAAATCAGAATACATGGCCTCGTACATATCTTTAGACACAGCCGGAATAATCAGAATACATGGCCTTGTACATATCCTTAGACACAGCAGGAATAATCAGAATACATGGCCTCGTACATATCTTTAGACACAGCCGGAATAATCAGAATACATGGCCTCGTACATATCCTTAGACACAGCAGGAATAATCAGAATAAATGTTGATAGTGGAATAAAACTTCTGCCCAAACCTGAAACAGGTGGCAGGTATGCCGCGATCTGGCTTAAGAGAAAAGACTGACTGACTGCCTGAGTTTGGTTTTACGCCGCTTTTAGCAATATTCCAGCAACATCACGACTGGGGACACCAGAAATGGGCTTCACACATTGTACCCATGTGGGGATTCGAACCCGGGTCTTCGGCGTGACGAGCCAACGCTTTAACCACTAGGCTACCCCACCGCCCCTTAAGAGAAAAGAGATATACGTGATAGACAATGATGGAAACAGGAAGTGTTTTAGTGAGGAACGCTTGTCACGGTTCAATTTGCCTGGTGGTGGTGGCGATGATATGACATTGTTTCTATAATATGTATAAACCCCCTATATATTAGAAACACAGCAAAATCCCCCTGTGCTGATGCTATGAAAGCTAACGTATATTATAGCCGTAAGTAACCTTATTTGTCAATATTTCTCGTGTCGCCGGTTGCATGTAACACAATATACAAGCTCTGTTGAGTTATTTACCTGTTGTAGCAAGCATTTACCTGTTGATGCAAGCATTTACCTGTTGATGCAAGCATTTACCTGTTGCTGCAAGCATTTACCTGCTGCTGCAAGCATTTACCTGTTGATGCAAGCATTTACCTGTTGATGCAAGCATTTACCTGTTGTTGCAAGCATTTACCTGTTGCTGCAAGCATTTACCTGCTGCTGCAAGCATTTAGATGTGGCTAAACATTGCATTACACAAGTCTATGAACAACTGAACAGAAAATCCGCTAAATTAGGATTTTTTTAACTTCAATTTCCATGTCTTAATATAGTCGACCAGATACTTTTTTAAAGTGAACATAAAAACAACAATGTTCCTGCATTGATTAATTTATTTCAGTACAATGAAAGGTAAGATATTCATTCTTACAAATGAATCACAAGATCGATGGTCTTTCAACATGTCCACGGTTTACAATTTTACCTTTTACCTTTTTACCTTTTTACCATTGAAATTACAGGAAATAATTGCTCCTAAACAAACGCAATAAATTCTTCTACCATTTTGTAATAATCTACATATTGATATCTATCCTTCTTACTTTGTGTACAACGATAAGTAGCGTGTGTTTGTGTATACAGGAAGGTACGTGGGGTGTGTTTGTGTATACAGGAAGATACGTGGGGTGTGTTTGTGTATACAGGAAGGTACGTGGGGTGTGTTTGTGTATACAGGTAGGTACGTGGGGGTGTTTGTGTATACAGGAAGGTACGTGGGGTGTGTTTGTGTATACAGGATGGTACGTGGGGTGTGCTTGTGTATACAGAAAGGTACGTGGGGTGTGTTTGTGTATACAGGAAGGTACGTAGGGTGTGTTTGTGTATACAGACAGGTAAGTAGGGTGTGTTTGTGTATACAGAAAGGTAAGTAGGGTGTGTTTGTGTATACAGAAAGGTACCTTGGGTGTATTTCTGTGTACAGAAAGGTGCATCATGTGTATTAGTGTGTACAGAAAGGTGCATCGTGTGTATTAGTGAAAACAGAAAGGTACCTTGGGTGTATTTGTGTGTACAGGAAGGTACGTGGGGTGTATTTGTGTATACAGAAAGGTACGTGGGGTGTGTTTGTGTATACAGGAAGGTACATGGGGTGTGTTTGTGTATACAGGTAGGTACGTGGGGGTGTTTGTGTATACAGGAAGGTACGTGGGGTGTGTTTGTGTATACAGGATGGTACGTGGGGTGTGCTTGTGTATACAGAAAGGTACGTGGGGTGTGTTTGTGTATACAGGAAGGTACATAGGGTGTGTTTGTGTATACAGACAGGTAAGTAGGGTGTGTTTGTGTATACAGAAAGGTAAGTAGGGTGTGTTTGTGTATACAGAAAGGTACCTTGGGTGTATTTCTGTGTACAGAAAGGTGCATCGTGTGTATTAGTGTGTACAGAAAGGTGCATCATGTGTATTAGTGAAAACAGAAAGGTACCTTGGGTGTATTTGTGTATACAGGAAGGTACCTTTGGTGTATTTGTGTATACAGAGAGGTACGTGGGGTGTGTTTGTGTGTACAGGAAGGTACGTGGGGTGTATTTGTGTATACAGAAAGGTATTTGGGGTGTGTTTGTGTGTACAGGAAGGTACGTGGGGTGTATTTATGTATACAGAAAGGTACTTTGGGTGTGTTTGTGTATACAGGAAGGTACGTGGGGTGTATTGTGTATACAGAAAGGTACCTTGGGTGTATTTGTGTATACAGAAAGGTACGTGGGGTGTGTTTGTGTATACAGGAAGGTAAGTAGGGTGTGTTTGTGTATACAGAAAGGTGCATCGTGTGTATTAGTGTGTACAGAAAGGTACGTGGTGTGTATTTGTGTGTACTGAGAGGTACCTGGGGTATATTTGTGTCTACAGAGAGGTACGTGGGGTGTATTTGTGTATACAGAAAGGTACCTGGTTTACCCTTGCATAATCCGTACCAACAACCTCGACAGCCTTAGTGGCTGATATGATCAAATATTTTGAAGTTGTAGACACTTGTTTGGATGTCAACGCCTTTATTAAGTTTAAGCAAACACCACTAAAGTTCACCCAACAAATCTCTGACTATGAATGAAAGCTGAACTTTCTTCAAGATATTCAGTTACATATTGTTGAGATGTTTGGACAGCTGGACATGTTGGGTGTGATGTTTTGGTTGGTTTAAACAGTATAACATCGTGGTAAATCAACCCCAGGGAACAAGTATTAACAGATTAACGTCATGGTAGATCAAATTCAAGGTTTGAAATTTGCGAGGAACAGTAGTTATTAGAATTAGGGTGATCCTGAGTGATACGGATTTGCGATTGTCAGTTTGTTATTTATTCCTTTTTATTCTCCTTTTCACACTTTGGCCCGCTGGAGTAGTAGCCCGCGGCTGCCCCGCCGACTGCGGCCATTGCTACCTTCGTTCCTATAGCTACACCAGCAGCCCCTGTGACAAGACAAAATTGATGGAAGATAATGGTTGACAACATTCATTTATTGTAATCTTGTATTTATTGTTTCTGTTGTGCTTATTACTTAAGCTCTTAAGTAATCATAAATATGTTCTTCAAACAGTATACCCATATGGGAAATTGAATCCACTGAGACGTTTTAACCACAAAGCTTAAAAAGAATGTGATTGATGTGGTTAATGCACTAATACAAGTATCTGAGTACTAGTGAGTGAGTGAGTGAGCTGGGTTTTACGCTGCTTTCAGCAATCTTCCAGCAATATCACTGCTTCTAACAATGTTGCTGGCTTAAAGAACACAGCCAATAACAAAACACGTGCCCCACTCAAGATATGGGACTGTGACAGTTGTGGACGTCCGGGGGAGCCCAGAGTTACGTAATATATCCTGCTGCCACACATTCTCCCATTGTATTGTCCATTTCAGCAGCTAATCCCTTCTAGTAACATTTTTTTTAGTATTCAGTGATTTCGTCTTGTTATTTGTTCCTTGTATTATTTCATTATGTAGCTCTGCTTCTGGATAAACCTTGTTTTCATGTTTGAAAACACCTCGCAAGAATACACTGGAGATCGACCAAGAAATGGAAATGAAGAAATAGTCAATAATTCACTGTACACCATGCCAGTATGTCAATTTGATCACAACTTATATGGTCATTTCTATAGACATAGAAAGGTATCAGCATCAGGGGTATCAGAGCCTTGCCACATCTGTCGTTCCTAACAACATGTCTGATCATATTCTTACTTCTACTGCACTCATGTCCTACCTGTAGACTGTGCTGCTCCAACGGCCCCCACGCCAACTCCCGTCGTCCAAGCTGTAGACATCGCACTCGCTGCCATGGAGCCTGCTGTAATCCCTGACGTTGTGAACCCCATTCCTGCTAGCCCGGCCCCAAGAACAACTGGCCCCAGTACCGCACCTGTTACAGTTCCACCTGCAACAGCGGGGACCCAGCACCACGGATTATTCCAGAAACCCTTCTTCTCGTCCTGTTCGCTCTTGACAGCGACTTCCACACTGCTCCCTAAAACACCCCACAATACCACAATGTTAATGATTTTGACACTTGGCACACAATGTAATATGTTCTCCTTTCATGATTAAAAGGTTGTATTGTCTTTAAAGATTTAGACATAATTACAGTCACTTCTTTTGAATATAATGCATGGTTAAGAAATTTTAGCCTCCGAGCTGAAGAATATATTGCCATTTCTTGCCAATTTGATGTCAGGAATTAACATAACGGGTATCCGGGTAGGGTAATAGGGAGTGGGGTACCCGGATAGAAAATTCGGACCCGTCCCAGCCCTACTCTGCTGACAGTAATACGTGGCTCAAAAATGGCGATGGTTGTAATCCCTGACGTTGTGAACCCCATTCCTGAGAGCCCGGCCCGAAGAACAACTGGCCCCAGTACCGCACCTGTTTCAGTTCCACTTGCAACAGCGGGGACCAAGCATCTCGGATTATTCCAGAAACCCTTCTTCTCGTCCTGTTCGCTCTTGACAGCGACTTCCACACTGCTCCCTAAAACACACCACAATACCACAATATTAATGATTTTGACACTGGGCAGACATAATGCATGGATTAATGTGATAGGATGTGTTGTGTTGTGTCAACAACTCGCGACTATCGAAAGGGTCTTGCTGCCTTAATAATTTGGATACATGACCAAAAAAACAAAAACACTGATGCTGATTCAACCAGGTTTAAAGGACTCTTTAAAAGGCGACCTTGACATTGGCCCTATTGTAAACGAGAAAGTGTTAATAAAACAGGAGCAACTCCTTCACCGCCATTTGAGGTAAAAATAAGTTTATCTAGCCTAACAAGCTGACCAAGAAGACAAAATCATTAATATCCCCTGCAATGGTAAAATACTCATGAATATGTCAGCTACTTATGGCAATGTCAAATGTTACATTGTTCTTCACATTGATCTAAAGAAGACATATATATGTAATGTATCTATATACAGCATGCTTGTATCAACAACAGACTGGTTTATGTCATTGGGTTTTTGAATACCCACAAACATGAAAGAAAGTGTTGTCATAGACTAAATCATTTCAATAAGTTTCTTTAAAACGTCTTATATTCAAACGGCATAATTGTTTCAATATGTATCAAAGTACACCTAAATTCTATCCCCTTTGTCTGTAATGCATTCAGCAAACATATAAGAGGAGTATATGGATGGCAACTTCTTGTTTATTGTATATCACAACGTTTCTGAGCTACTTCTTGCCCCTTCTTTATGTGATTAAAGACAGAAGTATAAATCACATCTTCACATTTACAGGAAGTCAGATATGTACATGTATATACAATCAATCACAGAGGACCGATGATTGTATATACATGTACATATCTGGCTTACTGTAAATCTGGTATATATAGTTTCAGTAGTTTCAGAATACTGGAAAATTGCAATAACTGACTGGGCTAAGGGACCGTTCTTAATTTATGGCGGGGGTCAAATGACGATTTTAAGGTGGGGTGTCACCCATTTTGTTCTGGGGAGGTAGTGGGGTGATCAAATTTGTATACATGTTTCTAGGGGGGTTCAGCAATTTTGTACATAAAAATATTTTAAAATTATGCTTTAAAAATATGGAAAGGGGGATGGGGGGTCATTGACTTTGTACATGACAAGCAGGTGGGATCACTTATTTTCACAATACTTTGTACATACATTTTAGGGGGGTCATTCACATTGTACATGCTTCTCCATAAAAGACATCATCACACCCCACGACCACCACCACCACCACCACCCACCCCTAGCCATAAATTATAAACGGTCCCTAAAGATCCAATCATCGAAACATCATACAACAGGCGTGTGTTGATGTATTTCTAGGTTAGGAAGTTTCACACTGACAAAGTCAGACGCAATCTAACTCTGCTGTAGGGCTGGGGCGGGTAACCCGGATACCCGGGACGGGTGGGTAACGAGTTGGACCCGGGTACCAATCTCAATACCCGGACCCGTTATGATCATGTGACTAATTGATTAAACAATGTAACATGTTCTCCTTTCATGATTAAAAGGTTGTATTGTCTTTAAAGATTTAGACATAATTACAGTCACTTCTTTGAATATAATGCATGGTTAAGATATTGAAAAAACTCGAAATTTTAGCCTCCGAGCTGAAGAATATATTGCCATTTTATAATCCTTGACGTTGTGAACCCCATTCCTGATAGCCCGGCTCCAAGAACAACTGGCCCCAGTACCGCACCTGTTGCAGCTCCACCCGCAACAGCGGGGACCCAGTACCACGGACTATTCCAGAAACCCTTCTTCTCGTCCTGTTCGCTCTTGACAGCGACTTCCACACTGCTCCCTAAAACACACCACAATACCACAATATTAATGATTTTGACACTTGGCAGACATAATGAATGGGTTAATGTGATAGGATGTGTTGTGTTGTGTCAACAACTCGCGACTATCGAAAGGGTCTTGCTGCCTTAATAATTTGGATACATGACCAAAAAAACAAAAACACTGATGCTGATTCAACCAGGTTTAAAGGACTCTTTAAAAGGCGACCTTGACATTGGCCCTATTGTAAACGAGAAAGTGTTAATAAAACAGGACAACTCCTTCACCGACAGTTGAGGTAAAAATAAGTTAATCTAGCCTAACAAGCTGACCAAGAAGACAATATCATTAATATCCCCTGCAATGGTAAAATACTCATGAATATGTCAGCTACTTATGGCAATGTCAAATGTAACATCGTTCTTCACATTAATCTAAAGAAGACATATATATGTAATGTATCTATATACAGCATGCTTGTATCAACGACAGACTGGCTGAGTGCTCTACGGTTTGATGTACCTCAGTAATGTTGATACTGGAAGTAGAGTGGCACTGTTGATATATGTCATTGGGTTCTTGAATACCCACAAACATGAAAGAAAGTGTTGTCATAGACTAAATCATTTCAATAATTTTTTTAAAACGTCTTATATTCAAACGGCATAATTGTTTCAATATGTATCAAAGTACACCTAAATTCTATCCCCTTTGTCTGTTTAATGCATTCAGCAAACATATATGGATGGAAACTTCTTGTTTATTGCATACCACAACGTTTCTGGGCTACTTCTTGCCCAATCTTTATGTGATTAAAGACAGATGTAGAAATCACATCTTCACATTTACAGGAAGCCAGATGTGTACATGTCTATACAATCAATCACAGAGGACCGATGATTGTATATACATGTACATATCTGGATTCCTGCATCTGGTCTATATAGTTTCAGTAGTTTCAGAATGCTGGGAAATTGCAATAACTGACTGGGCTAAGGGACCGTTCCTAATTTATGGCGGGCGGCAAATGACGATTTTATTGGGGGTGTCACCCATTTTGTTCTGGTGAGGTAGGGGGTCATCAATTTTGTACATAATTTTTTTTTCAAATTATGCTTTAAAAATATGGAAAGGGGCAGGGGGGTCATTGACTTTGTACATGACATGCAGCGGGATCACTTACTTTGTACATGAAATTGGGGCATTCACATTGTACATGCTTCTCCATAAAAATCATCATCACACACCCCCATCCCACCACTAGCCATAAATTATGAACGGTCCCTAAAGTTCAATTCATCGAAACATCATACAACAGGCGTGTGTTGATGTATTTCTAGTTTAGGAAGTCTCACACTGACAAAGGCAGACGCAATCTATATGAACTCTGCTGTAGGGCTGGGACGGGTAACCTGGATACCCGGTACGGGTGGGTAACGAGTTGGACCCGGGTACCAATCTCAATATCCGGACTCGTTATGATCATGTGACTACTAGATTAAACAATGTAATATGTTCTCCTTTCATGATTAAAAGGTTGTATTGTCTTTAAAGATTTAGACATAATTACAGTCACTTCTTTTGAAAATAATGCATGGTTTAGAAATTTTAGCCTCCGAGCTAAAGAATATATTGCCATTTCTTGCCAATTTGATGTCAGGAATTAACATAACGGGTATCCGGGTAGGGTAATAAGGGGTTGGGTACCCGGATAGAAACTTCGGACCCGTCCCAGCCCTACTTTGCTGACAGTAATACGTGGCTCAAAAATGGCGATGGTTGTAATCCCTGACGTTGTGAACCCCATTCCTGCGAGCCCGGCCCGAAGAACAACTGGCCCGAGTACCACACCTATTACAGCTCCACCTGCAACAGCGGGGACCCAGTGCAACGGATTATTCCAGAAACCCTTCTTCTCGTCCTGTTCGCTCTTGACAGCGACTTCCACACTGCTCCCTAAAACACCCAACAATACCACAATATTAATGATTTTGACACTTGGCAGACATAATGCATGGATTAATGTGATAGGATGTGTTGTGTTGTGTCAACAACTCGCGACTATCGATCGAAAGGGTCTTGCTGCCTTAATAATTTGGATACATGACAACAACAAAAAAAAACACTGATGCTGTTTCAACCAGGTTTACAGGACTCTTTAAAAGGCGACCTTGACATTGGCCCTATTGTTAACGAGTAAAACAGGACAACTGACCAAGAAGACAATATCATTAATATCCCCTGCAAATGTAAAATACTCTTCATGAATATGTCAGCTACTTATGGCAATGTCAAATGTTACATCGTTCTTCACATTAATCTAATGAAGACATATATATGTAATGTATCCATATACAGCATGCTTGTATCAACAACAGACTGGCTGAGTGCTTCTTCGGTTAGATGTACCTCAGTGACGTTGATACTGGAAGCACTGTTGATGTATGTCACTGGGTTCTTGGATACCCACAAACATGGAGGAAAGTGTTGTCATAGACTAGGGGAGGGGCAGCAATTTCGTACATGAAAATATTTTCAAATTATCCTTTAAAAATATGGAAAGGGGCAGAGGGGTCATTGACTTTGTACATGACATGCAGGGGGGATCACTTACTTTGTACATAAATTTTCGGGGAGTCATTCACATTGTACATGCTTCTCCATTAAAATATCATCACACACACCCATCCCCCATTTATTTCTAGCTTAGGAAGTTTCACACTGACAAAGGCAGACGCAATCTATATGAACTCTGCTGTAGGGCTGGGACGGGTAACCCGGATACCCGGGTACCCATATCAATACCCAGACTCGTTATGATCATGTGACTAATTGATTAAACAATGTAATATGTTCTCCTTTCATGATTAAATAGTGGCATTGTCTTTAAAGATTTAGACATAAATTACAGTCACTTCTTTTCAATATAATGCATGGTTAAGATATTGAAAAAAACTCGAAATTTTAGCCTCCGCGCTGAAGAATATATTGCCGTTTCTTACCAATTTGATGTCAGGAATTAACATAACGGGTATCCGGGTATGGTAATAGGGGGTGGGGGTACCCGGGTAGAGAATTCGGACCCATCCCAGCCCTACTCTGCTGACAGTAATACGTGGCTCAAAAATGGCGATAGTTGGAATATTTCAATTACCTGTGGCACGGGCACCTGTGGCACGGGTACCCAGACCTAGATAACGTTCGACGTACGTTCGCAGCATGGTGTTACACGTCGTAATAATCTCTGAAAGACAGACAGCGGAGTTAAATGGTTCTAGTAACCAATATTGAAGGGGGAAAGTATGTAAACATGTAAATGCAAATGATTTCATTTCGACATACATTCGCTTAAGTCGATGGGAAGAGTCACGTCCCTTACTTGTGGCAGCATCCGGCGTGCGTTCTCTCGCATAGATTTCACCCAGTCTACTACACTGGTACTCATTCAAGGCACCGCCTTCCTTGCACCTGTAGATAGTGGTATGGATGAATGAACTGAATTGTTGCGTTATGACAAACACGGGCACACTCTGAGTGAGTTTAGTTGTACGTCGCTTTTAGCAATATTCTAGCAGTATCACGGCGGGGGACACAGAAATGGGTAACATATGTTATATTTAGGATATATGATGTGGCTTCGAATCCCGGATGTGCTGGTTAGAACGTCCGCCCGGAGAGCGGAAGGTCGCGGGTTCGATCCCCGGCCGCGTCATTCCAAAAGACGTTAAAATATGGTACTTGTTGGTCCCTGCCTGGCGCTCGGCATTAATGGATACAACAAGGACTGGTCGGCTCGGAGTCAGTATAATGTGTCTGGGGTATTCATGCTTCCCTTCACATGGTATCTCAGTGGGCTAGCACTATAAAACCAGCTTAAGTACAAGCAGTCGCACATACACATACACACGCATGCACGTCGTCATATGAGCGAAATATTCTCAAGCACGACGTTAAACCCAATTTCACCTCACCTCACCTCGAATCCCGGATGGGACTCAACCCCGGAAGTACTAGAATTTGTACTTTACTAAGAAAGTGTAATCCTAAATATAACACATGTTACATTTGACCACTTTCTAAATGACATTGTGTAATCATACCAGTAATGGGGTTCACACATTGTACCAGTGTGGGGAATCGGTTCAACATCAGATTCATCAGGGTCGGATCCAGGATTTGGGGTGTGCACATAAATCAATTAATCAATTGGTGACTAAACTCAGGTGCCTGAATCTCTGCGAGTCTTCTGAGCTGGCACGGACTTATGCTTCTATGTTCAGCGGTAAGATAGTACCTACTCACTTCAGCGAGCCAAACAGCTAGGAGAGGAGGCAGCTTCCTCATTCCAGAATTCTTTATGTGACACCTGGAAAATCTACAGGTTAATTTTTGAAATACATTCTAGATATGAGTCGTCTGCATCTCGGTAGCTTGCCTGAAGAACGGAGAAATAGAGGATAGTTCATGTGACCGAGGACCTGTGAAGATCCGGGTTAGAATTGATCATAAGTAGCCCATGCTTGTCGTAAGAGGTAACTAATGGGATCGGGTGGTCAGGCTCGCTGACTTGGCATATGTCATCGGTTCCCAATTGCATAGATTGATGTTCATGCTGTTGATCCCTGGATTGTCAGGTTAAGATCCGATTATTTACAAACCGCCGCCATATAGCTGGAATATTGCTGAGTGCGGAGTAAAGCTAAACTCACTCACTCACTCATGTGGCCGAGAGTGAGTGAGTTTAGTTTTACGCCGCACTCAGCAATATTCCAGCTATATCACGGCAGAGGACACCACAAATGGGCTTCACACATTGTACCCATGTGGGAAATCAAATCCGGGTCTTCGGTGTGACGAGCGAACACTTTAACCGCTAGGCTAACCCATCGCCGATGGGTCTGAGAGAAAGAGCAGAGCGAAATTTAGAACGACAACAATTATTTACTGTGTCAGAAAGTATAAGTACAGGTAATGGCCGCTGTCATTCGAGTGAAATAAAGTCACCTGTACATTCAATGTCCGTTTAGAACTCTGCCAGCACGTAACTCAAGTGTTTAGACCAGTCTAAGTAAACTTATGCCCAGTATTATTCATTACACTACTATCAGTGTAAAGAGTATAATACCGAGCCTAAGTTTACTTAGACTGGTGTTTGGACCATATGTAATGCCACATATAAAATATTCTTGTTTCTCGTCAGTTTTTCAAAAACATTTGGCGGACTGTATTTTTACATTTTATTTTATTTTATGTCCAAAACCCCTTGATTTCTGTGAAAATTTGAAAAGTGTGAAAAACTCATGCACATTTGAGAGTCAAAGTTGCAAGGGGTGTTGGATGGTGGTTTGACTCTATTTTTGTACTTATCTTTCTTTGCCTGCTCATATGATGCAATGGGAAATACTTTTGTACAAAATTAAAATTGATACATTAAATAGAATGCATTCATAAGGAGAAATATACACAAGGATATTGTATTCGTTGGCTGAGCGGTTTAGGCGGCGGACTGTGTGCTGACGATTAGCTGTCTGACTCTGTGAGTGTGGGTTCGAATCCAGGATGGGACTCAGCCCAACAAAAGTACAAGAAAGTGTAATCCCAATTGTAACATATGTTAAATATTATGTCTATATCAGCATTCAATAAAATGAAACATTTTCAATTTGTAGGAATGTTACACGCGATCACCATACTCCGAGCACGTGACCAACACAATCTAAGTAGCCCATTAATCCGATGTTGCCGGGCTGTAGTCTCCCATCTCCCGGTGGATGCGCTGGTCCTGTGGGTGTCGTTGAATTTTGAATATAAACGTTCAAAAACATGAAATGAAAATAAATAAAAAATCTGAAGTTAGGAAAGGAAAGGGTAAAATAATGCGTTCTTTGTTTATTTAAATAGAGAGGGGGGGGTAGTTATTAAGTGATGGTAAAACATAGGGGGGACATTTGAAATTGAATGCAGTCAAGCTGCATGTTATGAATAAGGGGGCCTATAGTAAGGAAAGAAAAGTGGGCTAACTTGGGGGGGGGGGGTTTGGTATGGAGAGATTTTGTAGAGTGTTTGCTAGCGTGGTGTCTATGTTGGGTGGCGGTTTGTGCCACATTTGACACTTATCAGAGGGGTACATAAAGTCTGCAGTCTAGACTACCAGTTGTCCGACATCCATTTTTGTGGAAGTCGCGGTAGCTGAGCGGGCTAGGTGTCTGACTTTGTGTGCTGGTGATTACAGTAGATCTAGGTGCCTGACTCTGAGGGTGTGAGTTTGAATCCCGGATGGGGCTCAACTCAAAAAGTACTAGCATTTGTACTTTACTAAGAAAGGGTAATCCCAAATATAACATATGTTGTATAACTTGCACGAGGCAACACAGTGGGGGTGTCACCCAGGTTGTGTTTGATTACGCTGATAAGAAATGGCTGCTCGCGTCACTTTCCAAGTATAGGCTATAATGGCGTAGCGATCGTTATCAAACAGTGCCCAAGTGCAACAATCGTTGGAAGTTCATTTGTCAGTTTTAATAGCTGATTCTAACTGGCCTAATTTTAACTGGACAAGAGTACTGATCCTTTAATCTTGAACTTCGGTAATATTTGTTGAATTTTAAACTCCCTTTGACGCCTTATAGGGATGTTCTGACGTAGATGTAGCGGACTATTGTACATATGTATTTACGCAACCCATGAGAACACTGTTTTCAAAGCACTCCTGCTGTCATAAGTGAAGATAAACTGTTTTGAAACATGCGGCGTAAAAACTTAGTCACTCACACATGAACACAGAGTCGAGAAATGAGGGAATGAATGGGCTACCTGTCGCTGTGCAGAGGTATGTTTGCCACTCGTCTTGTCAGTGTCTATCAGTCTGGAGCGGGAAAAGCCGTGACAATTGCCCACTCTCAAAACGTGAGTTATCTGTCCTTAGCGACCGCTATTAAAAACATAATGCGCATGTGCTGGTCAACGCGTATCTACTTCCGGGAAGTGTCGCGCCGGTGCGGCAAATGTCAAGAATGCCGTCAAAACAGCGATACTGTTGTATTTGTAGTAATCATTGTAAGAAATTTACGAATGGCCGGAAGATCACTATGCACAGATTCCCTGCAGATATACGACTGAGAAGGGTTTGGATTCAAAGATGCAAGCTTGTCCGTTCCAACTTCAAATACACAAGAAATGACAGCACCAGATTTAGCCGAGAGCCGCGATGCGGTCCTATACAGTCAAGACATGACCCTGCATCACGGCCGAGAACACCACCTTCGTAAATCCTATTCAGATTCTAGTGGCCGATTACCCCTCGTATTTTCTTGAGATTTTTTAAATATATTTCCTGTGGGTTTTTGACTGAAAAGTCGATATCGATGTACTCCCAGATAATTTCCCTATACATACACGTAACTGTCATATTTTGGTGATCATACATTTAGATATTAATGGGCCTGAAACCCGTTGAGTTCTTGTTTCAACGATAGCGAGCTGACATGTTGACATGTTGTGCGCATGCGCCAAATTTCTATAGTCCGTATCGGAGGACGTTCTTCATTAGCGGTAGGCAATACTCTCTCTCGCCTCCCGTTTCGCGCGCTCGTGATTTGGGTGAATCACACTTAATGTATATTATATTTATCTGCTTTTTGTCATAATTTACAGATTTTCCTTGCAGAGAGGATTCCATGCATATGTCTACAAAAAGATATGTCCATGGGATCTAGCAGATTTATTAATGTACAACGTAGTGCACAGGACACTTAAAGGGGGCACGATCTTGTCACTTTCACTCTCCGGGACCACGATTTTTCCAGTTCAACGCCTGGCCGAGAATTTCAAGTATTCTCCAAATTTTCGTTTCTGTGTTGTTAAAAAAGATCCAAGCAGACTTAAGTTTAAGATTAGAGTGTTATTAGTTATTACAGTCATAAATTACATTTCGCTGGACAATATGAATGTTTGAAGTTAATCTATTGTAAATTATTGTTAAACATGCGGGGTAGACATAGCTGTACAATATAGTATGGTTATGTAAAACAAGGTCACAAATTTGTCGTATTCACAGACTGTGTATGAGATATATTTTTCTGAATGATATAGATTTCAGGAGGTGTGTTTTAGCTCGGTAGTATTATGGAGATAATTTTTTGTGTAGACGTAATGTTTGTTGCAAGGTATATCAAATTCAGACGTCATTACATTTTTCTTTAAATCCAAAAATGAGGTGATTCTATTCTACATTTAGTTCACCCTCAATGATGAAGAAAATCGACGAAAGGTGTTTGCATTTTGTGAAATAAATAAAATATATCAGGTAAGTATGATCGGCGGTGAAAATATCCATAAATAATAAAAAAAAACACTTTTAGTTGATAGCAGAGGATTTTCCTACACCATCCAGGTAATGAATAATGAAAGGAGTCATACGTATTTGATTACATTTGAACGACGTTTGTATACACATGTGACTACAAAAATGTATATACTAAAATATGTTTCTTTCTTTAACAGAAGACAAGATCGTATTGTGTGTACTGGTGGTGCTCTGTGCGGCCAAAGGAGGGTCGGTGCACTGCCGCGGTTTCACAGAGAGGTGAAACTTTCACCCGCGGAGCAGCCGACCACAACCATGAGCCGACGACAGGACTTCTTACCAAGGCCACCATCAACATGAAGGTATTTTGTCGTTTTATTCATGACGTATCAATATATCTAACGTTTGTATTATGTAATATTATTATTATAATTATCTGTAGCTGCCCTTAGTTTCGTATCACTGAAAAAAAAGCATAACAACTTCGTTATAAACATTCTCAGTAACATCTAAGTACAATTCAAACTATATATTCCATTATTTATACACGTCTACGAATTCACCGTCTACGAACCGGTTTTGGTTACGAATTCACCGCGTCTACGAACTGATTTTGTCTACGAAATCACTGTCTCCCCATCGTGACAGGCATCAAACCTCAGAATGTGGACAAACACCACGAACTGGCTTGCAGAAACGTAAATGTGTTCTGTGCTGACATGTAGGGTGGGTACATTGTGCCAAGGTTGTATTTATCAATGAGGCAATAGCTCGAACTTCATCAGGTACAAATTCACGGAAATTCTCAAAAAGCATTAAGTTTTCTATAAGAAATGGCCCTTACTTGTTTCCAAAGTTTTAAATTTTGACAAGGATATCACGTGTCTGGACATGTCACAATTAGACCAGCAACGTAAACAAACAGAAGACAGGGGTGCTGTCAATTTACAACGTGTGAAATAAGTACTGTTTACATTTTATTGGAGCTGATAAAGTTACATTATTGATCTAGGGTTAAAAAGTAGTTGTTTGCTGAATATGAGCTATAACTTACGTTTGGTAACTTGACACGAAACATTTTCCGGTCCAAACGAATAAAAGTGGTGTCACCAGAAGATCAAAGCTGCACATATCGTAAGTTATCGCTACGTATTGCGACAATTACCATTCAAAATGGGCGATCGAAGTTACATGACGATCGAACTTATGTGACTTGACGATATGTGAATTCCAAATGAAATATGAAATAATTACGTGCATGTTATTAGAACAATATTGGTAAGTATGGTAACCTTATACCTTTCAATGAATCCATCCAAACATTAGCATTGCAAAAAACGGTTTTAATTCCTTCATGTCATTATTATTTTCTAAATTCTGGAAAATTAGTTGACATTTTCCCCTGATTACTGCATACATTTCCAAAAAAATGACAGTTGATTGGTGATCATTTTATCTTCTTTTACAGAATGTGTCCCATCTTGTCCATGGAACTACATGTGAGACCGATTTGGATCATGGTCTTGGTGAGAACATGGATATTGATGATGTTAATGAGATTGCTTTGCATATGGAGGATACAAGTATGTGTGATGTGTCAGCAGAGAAATCAGATTCACCTGCAGGACTTTTATCAAGACTTGAACGTTCCCTTAGTCACCATGACTACTGTGGTTCCCAAATGTTGACCAGTCTCTCTGTGAATAAATGTACCCAAACATTTTCGGAACCTGTTACATCAGCTGGAACTCAGACATTTGACAATGAAATTATCTATTGCAATGCAAGCACTCAAACATATGATTCATTGATGCACAGTGTTGGTATTCAAGTTGACAAACCAACATTGACCTATGAGGATATCAGGTGCTCTGATGAAAGTGTTATGTTCTACACTGGAGTTCCAGATTCATCAACATTTGAGGCTTTGTTTGATGAAATGTATGATGATGAGCAGGTTTACTCTGACACATCTGATGGTGGGAGACCACATGCTTTGAGGCAGATAGATGAATTTTTCATGATTCTAATGAGATTGAGATTAGGACTGTTACTAGATGATTTGGCATACAGATTTAGAATTTCACGTGCAACATGCGGCAGACTCTGCAACAAGTGGTTTGACTATTTGTATGTTCAACTCTCGTTTTTGGTGCAATGGCCAAGTAGGGAGAATGTTAATGCAGCAATGCCAGATTCATTAAGTACAAATTACCCAACCACTAGAGTTGTCGTAGATTGCACAGAGATATGGACAGAGACACCTAGTTCACTTCAGCTACAGTCACTTTTATACAGTGACTATAAGTCACATATGACCTACAAGGCTTTGATTGGGATAAGTCCAGCTGGTGTTGTAACATTTTCTTCAGATTTGTATTGTGGTAGTATCAGTGACAAACAGATCACCAAACTTAGTGGCCTTGTTGAATTGTGTGAGGAAGGTGATGCTATCATGGCAGACAAAGGTTTTCTCATCTCTGATTTTACTACACCTAGAGGTATTGATCTCATCATTCCCCCATTTAAAACTAATAAGCAACAAATGACTCAACATGAGGTGAATGTAACCAAGAAAATTGCCAGTTTGAGGATTCATGTTGAGCTGGCAAATGGAACGAATTAAAACTTTCAGCATCTTACAAGGTACTATTCCCATCACAATGGCTTCCCAGGTAACAAAAAATATGGCATATATGTGTTTGTTTGACAAATTTGCAACCACCTCTTGTTCTTAAATGATATAAATTTGAATGAATTTGTTCGGGGTTCGGAGTACATGTAACTTCAATGATTTGAAGATTATTTCTTGAAATGTTAGAAGACTTAAAAAAACTTAAACATAATGACTTGGTGAATTATTTTAGTTTGTTTGGCATAGTCAGCCTTTTTTTAGACCTTCATTAGGCCTGCAACACATTTTTCAGACATTTTTCACTTTGGTCTCTTTGAAACGCTTAGGAATATTTTGATAAAGGTCAGGTAACCCCCTGTTATTACAAGCTACTAATTATTACCTCAAGCCCTGTTCTGTTAGCTGTACTCACTCCACTGCAACTGGATTAACTACTACTATTAACTAACTTGTTAGGTCAGGTGTTGGTTGTGAGTAGGTGTCTAACAGAACTTATAGATAGGTATAGATAATAGAGCATCACTGCTCAGTGATCATTATTGATCAGTAGATGATCACTGTTGCTAATAATTGACAAAACAAATACGAAGATTCTATATTTATTTACATTCACAAATATATTAATTCCTGTCTTGACACATTGTCTGAATGCAGTGTCAGGTAAGTTGTTTTACGCAACATCCGCATTGTCCATCATATGTACAATGACACACAGGTATATATTGTCAATAAGAACATTTACATTTTTTACAAGAAACCTATTTTTTTGCTTTATCTGTAGTATGTGAATGCCATTAGAACATTACTATAAAGCTGACAAATTTGTAGCTTTATTGGTAGAGCATGTCATTCAACAAATGTAATATTGACAAATGTGTTAAATACTGAAATAATAGTGTGCTTGAAAATGTGCCTTTCTTTATTTTTATTATACAATGCACCAGTTATGAAAGGATGTGAACTGT